ATGGTGTCCAGCTTCATCCACATCCCTGCAAAGGATATGAACTCATCCCTTTTTATGGCTGCATAGTATTCCATGGTGTATATGTGCCACATTTTCTTTATCCAGTCTATCATTGATGGGCATTTTGGTTGGTTCCAAGTCTTTGCTATTGTGAACAGTGCCACATAATTTATTATTCTTTTCACTGCTTTGTGTTATCTTACTATCACGGGTTAAGTTTGTCTATATTCAAGACCTCTCTTTGTGCTATCTTTTCTATTCTTTTTAGATGTATTTTTATAGTAATTTTATTATTTTTTTTTGAGACAGAGTCCCGCTCTGTCGCCCAGGCTGGGGTGCAGTGGTGCGATCTCGGCTCACCACAACCTCTGCCTTCCTGGTTCAAGCAATTCTCATGCCTCAGCCTCCCAAGTGGCTGAGCCTACAGGTGCACACCACCACACCTGGCTCGTTTTTGTCTTTTTTTTTTTTTTTTCTTTTAGTAGAGACGGGGTTTCACCACACTGGCCAGGCTGCTCTCAAACTCCCAACCTCAAGTGATCTGCCTACCTCAGCCTACTAAACTGCTGGGATTACAGGCGTGAGCCACCAAGCCCAGCCAGTATTCCCTTTTAAAAATTACTTTATTCTTATAATAGATTATAACTACTTACCTAAGATAATTGTCCTCCAATTAATTCCTTTTTCAAAGTTTTCTTTACATTTCTACTACATTTATAATGTCATATAAACATTAGAACCTTCTGTCCAATTCTCTCCACTAAAAAAAAAAAAATGCTTCAGTTTTCTTATCAAGGCACATACCTCCATTTACTCAAGTTTGCTTTTTACTTATTATTAGCATTGGCTAGGTCTGCTGAATTTTTGATATTAGAGGTTCTAAGTATAAGCAGCAACACCTAAAGTGCACTCAAAGAAAGACAAGTTAGGAAAGGCAATTTAAACATAATGGCACAAGAGATAGAAATACCAGCAGAGGTGCATTCTAGAAGGCAAAGGTAGAGAAAGTTTAAGAAAGACTTGTGGTAAGCAATTCCAAAACTGATGAAGGGGACAAGAACAGAAAATCAACCTCTGAATTTGGGAGTTGTTATACAAAGTCACTGATGATTTTCCCCAGAAAAAATTGATAGCATGACTAAGGCAGAAGTTATATTCAGTTTGTTGAGGAATGAGTGAGAGGTAAGGAAGAAGAAATGCTGACCATGAATTCTTTTTCTTTTCATGACGTTAAATGGTAATGGCAAATAGAGGCAAAGATAATATAGATGAGACAGAGATTCAAGAAAAAGTGGGGAGTAGAGAAGTGTACAGGGAATATTTAGGCTAGAGAATCTCTATATGAAGGCTGGAAGAAAAGAGTCAGAAACCAGAGGCACAGACATTAAAAATAATCTGAGAAATGAATCTCCTTCTTACTCGGTAAATAAAAAGGAAAAGATCATAGCAATAGCTAACACCCGTTACTTACTGTGTGCCAGCCACTGTGCCATGAACTTTAATGCACTGTCTCATGTAAGAAACCCTCGTACAAGACTTATCCCCATTCTAGAGATGTTGGAAACTGAGACAAATGTACAATAAGTTGGCCTAAGGTCACTCTGCTGTAAGTTTTGGAGCTGGAATCTGAACACTGAAGTTCAGATTCAGAATGCTTGATGACCAGCCTACATATTGTCAAGCAGAAGGGTGAAAGCAGGGAGCTGCCCTAACATTGATGAATCACCTCCCAAATCACCAAAGGCCACCTATGAACACATAACAAGGACTTCCAGCTTTGACTAGGACTCAGGAGTGGCAGACACAAAGAAGTTCTCCATTACAAGGATGCCTATGCATGAATAGGTGTCAGTTTCACAAGCAACCACCCTGTCCTTCACACCAGTTTCCAAACCTTGATCTGCACACTGCTTGTTTTTTGTGCCTTCATGGTTTCCACTTGTAAGTTATTTATTTAATAATACAGGGACTTGGGTACAAAAAAATAGAAAGAGTGAATAAGACCAACTATTTGATAGAACAACAGGGTTACTGTAGTCAATAATACTTAATTGTACATTTTAAAATAAAGAATATGATTTAATTGTTTGTAACTCAAAGAATAAATGCTTGAAGGGATGGATAGATACCCCATTCTCCATGATTTGCTTATTTCACATTGCATGCTTGTAGTAAAACATCTCATGTACTCCATAAATATATATACCTCCTATACACCCATGAAAATGAAAAATTCATAAAAATGAAAAATAAAAAAGAACATAAGGGCAAAGGGACATAATTGTTTAGCCCATATGGTCATAACACAGGGCTTCTGGCCTGTCCATTTGAGAAAAGGGTTAGGCTGGTGAGTCCCCAGATGCACACCCATGGCACATAGTGATAGCTCCCTGGAGCACAGAGAAGCATGCTCTGGAAGGCAGGAAGACAGAAAAATTAGCCCTACACAAACAGGGCCTACTCAGACTCTACATATCTTTCCAAAGCCCCAATTCCTCCACAGAGGTTTCTCTGCTCCTTCAGCTCCTTCATGTAGTCATTCATGTAAATGCCTTCACCTACCTTCGGTTTTTAGTTCTTTTAGAGAAGGGACCAAGTCCTACATCTCTTTCAAACTTTCAGGTTGGAGGTGTTCAAGAAATCGTTATTGAAAATGTATCAACTATTTCTACTCATGAGTAAGTGAGCTGCTTCTCATGATTACTTTTGATGAAAAAATGTGTTGATCATGAACCACTGTCAAGACCACTACAGCTTGAGGTTTGTTCCACCAAGTCTGCCTTAATATTTCCTCCTGGGAACAAATATCAGCACATGCCAACAGGGAGTAAGAGCCAGTTTTTGGTCAGAGAGTAGAGCTTTTTCTCAGCGGAGGCCACCTTGCCAACTCTTCCCTGAACAGTTTAGATCTAGATGATGTATTCTAATCAATTACGCTGTATTCTAATCAATTACGCTATATTCTAGTTGATTAAGCTAATCAACCTAAATACATTATTTTGCTCCCTGTATCATGAGGTTGGTGAACACAGTTAGCCAATAGTATCAGCAAATAAAACATTTTATAGTGAAAATGCCTTCATTCAAAAGCATTGCTGGAGATTGCTGTCAATTTAATAATTTATTCACAAAATATTGTGACTCTCAGGCCCATCTCTACAGAAGCCCTCCCTGGAATCCTTCCCAGTGGAGGAAGCCTGCTTTTTATTCACTTGACATCAGTCTTAGCCATATGATTTGGGTTAGCCAATGGAATGTGAGCATAAGTGATTTATCTCATAATTCAGCTGAAGCTTTAAGAACCACTGTGATGTTCCCCCATTACTCTTCCCTCTACCATAAAAATGGCCTGGCTTCTTCAGTCTGGATCCCAAAATGGAGCTGCAGACAATCCACGGCTAATGCCTTTATTAGCAAGCCACTAACTTCTACCACAGCAAGCCACTGAGATTTGAGGGTTATGCTTGGTTACCTTAGCATAACTTCCTGAAAGCTGACAAATGTTAAAACCTACCTATAAACATTTCATTCTCTCCCTCTGGCCTTTGTCACACCACAGACATAAAATGCAGTTTGAAGCTCAGTCTCTGAAACCAACAGTAAAATGAGAGAACCATGTCACAGGGTTGTTGAAATTGTTTAGCAGAATAGTGTATGGAGAGCACCTAGGATGGTGTGAGCTCCCTCACCACCATAGCACCTTCCCTTCATGTTTCATTCCCATTTCCATGGTAGAGGTAGGAAATGACAGACAATGTCAACCAGAATCTTGATTCTTCTCTGTAATCATGTGATGAACAAGTTATACACAGTTCCTGCCTCACAAAACTTGTAGTCTTACTTCTAGCAGAAAAATGTACCATGTGCATGCTTGCTTCCTCAACCATTAATGTGAAGTTCCAGCATCCAAGTGAAAAGTTAACAAATGTAATTAGGATTGTCTAGGAGATAGAGGGAATCCATTGTTCATTATTTTTCCCTCTCCCAACCACTATCAACCACCCCACTACCTATACACACCACCACTGCCAGCACCACTTCCAGCAATTACTCCCTGGTCCTAAAACCTGGATTAGATTGCCCTCCTTTGTGCTCCCATAATATCCTGTACTTCCCCCTTCTCCAAACTGTTACTCTGGAATGGATTTACTAGTTTGGGACTCAGTCTTCCCACTGAGAGAATTAACTGTTTCTTCGTTATTTTAGTCCTAGAAGTTGCCTTGTGCCTCAAACACGGTAGATATTTATCAACATTTTTTGAATTAATGAATGAGTGGATTTGATAATTTCTTCATAATGACTTTTTAGTTCCCGCTGCAAGTTGATGAATTTTGTATGCCAGATGTCCAGGGCTCCATGCAATCCTTATAGTTTTTTAAGTGACAAGGAATTCTCTATTATGAAATGGGGATGTATACCTACAATCTCAAAGCACTCATAGAGCCCACTGGAAATTCAAATGGGTAATACAAATTGAATTATCAGCTCTTGACTAAGAGAGCATTGATTTTATTAAAACTGCTGAAATATATGCCAGAAGTTAATTAATAGCTTGAAAATAATCAGACACTTCATAAAGCTGAACATCTGCCAAAAAGCGGGTATTCTGAGGTATGCTCACGATCGTTTCCAAGTGTATAATATTTGTTTCCATAGTTCTTTATATTGTAATAACCAAAAAATAGGTAAATCAATTTTTTAAAAAGAAATTTAACAAACTCATATTTCCTTTATATTTTGGAGGAACTCCAAATTTGCCAGAGTAGGACAATGTCCTTACTTACTCTCTTGGAATATCTAAAAAAACTTCAGTCCTATAAGATTCTTTTTTTAAATGAGGAATGATTCTTGTTCTGTTTATTTTTACATAATACCTTTATCATCAAACAAACTTCAAGCTGTGTCATCTTTAGTAGGAAAACATATTTCCACTTCATCCTCCTGTTAGACTTCAGTCTACTTAAGCCTATTCTCAGTTTAATGGGATTAACAGAAGCAAATCATAATTCAAGACTATAGTTTACCAACCTTCCTTTCTCTTGTTCAGTGAAATTCCCCTGACATCCATCAGTCAGCCCCTGCTGGCCTTGAGAGGCACTCCAGAAGGCAGGAGGAAGGGCACACAGGATTGCTTTTTGAACTTAAGAAGGGTTTCATTTGGTTTAGAATTGCCAAACTTCAAAAAATAAATAAATAACTTAAAGTGCTTTTCAGATCAGCCATAAGGCTGCAAACCAGGAAGAAAAGTGTGAGGCAGGTGTTTAGGGAAGCTACCCAAGTTGCCTACATGATTTCCAAGGTCCTTTCAACTCTAAGATGTGTGTATCCGGTTGTCTACAGATCATACTGTCTCCATACGATTGTCTAGTTCATTTTATGGCTAGTCTGAACAATCTGATTTTCTTTTTTTTACAATGGCAGGGACTCAATCCATGTTAAGCTTCAAAGTTGGGTCACCCAAGTTCTCCACAGAGAATAACCAACCAGCCCTAACGAAGCTTCTTTTAGCATTGCCAGGATTCTGTAAAGTCCCTTCCAGCTTAACTTTTCTGACCTTGCCGCAGCAGCACATCAAAAAGAACAGCCCCTGGCACCCTAAGAAGAGCACAAAGCCCTCTGCCAACCTGAGATGGCGCCCAGGTAGACTTCCCTGAAAAAAAAAAAAAAATGGCAAGGCTGCTTCAGCAAGTCTTTCAGCCCCAACGACTCTACCCTCCGTCTCCTTTTCTTCACTGCTTTCCCCATCTCTCTTTCCCGCTTCCACTTTGACCCACCCCAATTTTCGTCCACTTCTCCCTCACCCCTTCCTTGTAATCTCTCTCCTTGAGGCGTCCTGTGGATGTTGACTGTAATCTTCCCTGGAGGAAAGCTAAGAAATGCACCTCCAGAGGGTTTGCCTGTTGGAGCCGCGCAGAGAAGGCGTGCAAACCGGTTAACCGCTGTTCCTCTCCCTCCTCAACCCAGGTTTTCTGCAGAAGAGGGGAGTAGGGTCTGCCCCCTTGTTGTATCTATTTTCCCCTTCTCCGCCAGGGCTGTGGCCCGCAAGAGGCTCAGGAGGTGAGTCCCTTGCACACACCGCCAACCCCGCAGGCCCGGTTTATAACACGGACAGCCCTGCCCTCTAGTGTTTGCAACCGGGAGCCCTAAGGCGCCATCAGCTCCATAATATCTCTTTTACAACCTAAGCAAGACCTGGAGCACCTCGGAGCTGCAACCTCCAGTTCACAACACCACCTGCCTCACACCCGGGCTCATCTTTTCATCCCACCCCCACCCCACCCCCCTCTCTGTTCACGGTGTCCTGGGAGGCTGCGACCTGCGTAGATGATTTAGCAGACTGCCCCTGCCCCTGCTTCTGCTCCTCCTCCTCCTCCTCTTTCTTCCCCGCTCTCTCTCTCTCTCGCCTCCTCTTCCAGTCCAGGCGCCCAGACTCGGCGAAGCGCAGCGCCTGCCACCCGCGGTGCCTCGGGCTGCCTGGCGCGCCGCGCTCCCAGGTTCTGTCTCGCCGCACCCCGGCGGGCACTGGCGCGGGCAAGGACGCTGGCGGGGAGAACGCCCTGGGTTCAACGTATTCCTGAATCGAATGTTGAGAAAAGCAGTGCTTTGATCCAGCTCAGGAGAAAAAGGAGCGGGTTCCGAGTGAGACTTCTGGAGCCAGCGGGACGCCCCAGTTTGCCCAGTGCGGCACGGCGGCACGCACCATCCACAAGGTGAGGGGCGCACACCTTCCGCGACGACCTTGGCTTCTCTTCTTACCCGCACCCACTCCAGGTATTCTAGATCTGGCTTGGGAATGTTTCCCAGCTTTGAGGCGCAAAGGCGGCGGGAGTTGGGATGCGGGGTGTAGGAGGGAGACCATGAGGGTCGCCCAGGCACCGTGCCTGCCCCCTGGATTATAGTACAGAGCGCATTTCTTGTTCAAACAATTCCTCAAACGTGTGAACCTGAGAATCAACATCGTGTGTAACTGTGGTTTGAGCATTTCATCCCGCTTCCTTGCAAAAGGATTAGAGGCAGTTTAAAGATTAAATAGGTATGGAACAGGTGCTGGGGGGTGCCAGGGAAAACTTGAGTAGAAATCACAGGGAGGTGGCGTGCTCCAGGGACCCTGGGAGGACGGTGCGATTTCAAAGCCAGCTGATTAAACAATCTTTGATTAGAAAGGACTGCATGGTTGCTCCAGCCCTCAGAAAATAACTATGTGCTCAGTCCTGATAAAATACCCAGGTGAGGAGGTAACGGGACAGGCTCATTTTTTTTTTTTTAAATACAAAATAAATCTTGGAAGTAAGAGTTAAGATGAGAAGTTTGATCTTAAGCCATCTCCACCCAATACTGCAAGGTGAGAGGCTGACCCCCTACCTAATGAAAATGAAAGGAAATTGAGTCTAAAGGGAAGTGATTCCAGCTCCTATCACAGGATCATAGTGGTTTTGCATCTATATGTATGTTTCTGCCTGTGCCCAGTTTTGGAAGAAAGGACCTTGTATTCAACCCAACGCTGCTTGTCCTTGAGTTAGAAGGATAAGGCAGAGGGTGTCAGCATCCCAAGGTGCTTCTTCCTAACCTCTCTTATTGTCCTTCCTTGCCTCCTGTACCAAATCTCTTGGGAACGGAGCAGCCCAGAAGGAAGTAACAGATCGGCAAATGGGTTAGGAGAGCAGTGTTTTTTCAAAAATAATTTAGGCTCATTTCATCATTCTTATGTTTTCCCTCAAAACTCTAAGCAGTACATCGTCCTAAGCTGAATTTAACATTGCTCCAGAATATATATTTACCATGATTATACATTCAGACACAATATGCATAACCTTAAACAGCCAGGATGCACTTGTGAGTCAGGGGCTTCCCTTACTTAACCCTGTGCAAGAGAGGCAAAGCAGGCACCGGGGTCTGATTCCCTGTGCAGTCTCCTTTATGAGGAGCATATGTGAAATACCTTTGAAATACAGAGAAGATTGAGACAGCTTTTCTCTTTCTGGTACAGTTGTTTTCCTGCTGAATTAAATAAGACGACCCTGTCTTCAACAAATAAATGACTGGAGGCATTTGAGGCCCATTTAACAAAAGCACAAAATATGCCTACCTCGGTTTTTTCTCCCTTCAGAGCTTTAGCCTCCAGCCCACGGAGTTGTGATGATGAAGCTCACCTCCCAGGTGGGACTCAGATCAGTTTCTGTATCATATTTAAAACAGAGTATGTTGCTTATTTCTAAAATTGCATAGCACCTCACCACTAACTATTTTGCTGCATAGAGGTGGGAGAAGTACTTCTGCCCAGGTATTTCATCACTATGAGAGCTATACAGAGAAACTCAATCAAATCCTGATTCACCATTGTTGATAGAACTTAACTAATGTGTCATCATCACCTGATATGGGCTGCAGAAGCTCCAAGGATTGCTATAGATCTCAACTGAGATGTCTAATGACAACTAGAAAGGAGCCTTTTAAAGTGTAGCCATGACTCTGGTCATTAGGTATATGGATGTTCAAATATTCCCTTAGGTGACTGTTTTTGCTTTCATAACAATTTCCAGGGATGAAAACTTAGCAGATTATTTTTATAATGAAGAGTATTCAAATTAACAATGTGTATCCACAAGCTAACAAATTTTAAATTCCACAGAAATCAACATCACAAACATAGTAAGCTCAAGTTTTCATTCTTTCCTCTTCTGCCGTAATGACTTCATTCAAGGCATAGTCCCAGATCAAGTGCATAGAGAGGATGGCTCATGTCTCTCAACATTTGCCCAAGGGAATGGTGCCTTCCTTGCAACTCAGCATGATGTCACCTTTGTTAGCCATTCTGGTGTCTATACAAAGTATTTGCTCTCCATTTCTTGTTATTGATGCCTGGTCAGAAGCAATCATATAAATAAGTTTCCATTCTTTTGAGGAAGATAACAAAGTCAGAATTTCTCAGAAGTGGTACCAAAGAAGAGACAAAATCTAGGATACGTCTCTAGTTCAGGTAACACTGCAGTGCATTTCCATTTCCTGTTGGGTTATTATTGAAGAGGGAAGTAAGATATATCATTGGCAGCACATTGTTCCCACCTGGCTCAAGCACCGCCCATTCCCCAGGTGGGCTCAATATTGCTACCCCACCACCACCAAGATACCAAGGCTTCAAATGAAAAGTAGATCTCAGCCAGGCATGATGGCTCACACCTGTAATTCCAACACTTTGAGAGGCCAAGGCGGGAGGATCACATGAGCCCATGAGTTCAAGACCAGCCTGGGCACTACAATGAGCTCTCGTCTCTACAACACATTTTAAAATGAGCCAAGTATAGTGGTGTGCACCTGTAGTCCCAGCTACTTGGGAGGCTGAAGTGAGAGGATTGCTTGAGCCCAGAAAACCAAAGTTGCAGTGAGCCAAGTTCATGCCACTGCACTCCAGCCTAGGTGACAGAGCAAGACTATGTCTCAAAAAAAAAAAAAAAAAAGAAAAGAAAAGAGAGAAAAAGAAAGTGGATCTCTTTGCAGAAAGCCTCAGGCCCTGAACTTTTCTGTCATCTTCTCATTACTCAAGTGTCTAATTCCCTACATCTCACTTTTACACACAGGTCATTTTTTTTTTTTTCATGTTTGTTTTATTGCCCACCTTGGAATTCTATTTCTACACTACTCTTTAAAAGTGAAAGATCAAATCTAATACTCCAATGTGGGAAAGCATTCCCTCTATTTTTACAAGCTTATTTACACAAAAAAATAAGCTTGAGACTGATCAAAGGCTGACTTTCTACCAAATAGGAACTTATTTTTTATGTCATAAATTATCAAGGCCATCTCAAGGCAGAGGTGAGTTCAGCATCTCATGCTTTATGTTCCTTTCTTCTCCACCTACCAGATTTTTATTATGTGTGAAATTATATGAACATAAACCCCAGGAAAACATTGAAGATGAGTGTGCCATCATAAGTGACGAGGGGATAGATGAACAGGGAAGAGAAATGGGGCAGCAGCACTTTAGAATGACTTATTTCTCTCTTGTTTTTTCCTCCCCGAATCATTTTCTAAAACCAGTATTGTGGCCCCTAAATTTGGGGCTTAAGTCAGTCAACTTATCAAAGTTCATCTTCCTGGCGAGGAAAGGACTTTCATCAAAATCCCAGCTACTTTTTATTCATTCTCACATTTTGTGGATTAAGAAACTGAGAACCAGAATTCATAGAGATCATTCAATCAATTATCATGTTCCTGGATCACAACAAATTGATAAAATTCTTGAGAACCCTCTTTCTAATACAGATTGACTGTAATTTTGTCTTTCTTTTTTAGTTCTCTTATTTTGTCTCATCCACTGTGGATTACTGCACTGTGGTTTACTGCAGTCCTTACCCAAATAGATGTCAGTGTTTTTGTCCCGTTGTTGTATTGCCCTAAAACACGTCAAATGAAAAGTACACATAGCCAACTGGACACTTTAATAGGTTTATTGTTAGCACTCCCTCATGTTGATCAATTCTCACCACATGCAGCTGTAGGATTAGGAAGACAAAATCCTTTAGAAGAGGCTGTAAAACCTAATCCTGCATCTGGATCATTTTTAACTACAAGTTGTAAGAGGAATGAACATCTCTGGATTTCTAGTTATCAGTGCAGACCAGATGGAAGGTCTTTATGAAATCTGGTGTGAGAAGGAAAGCATTTTATAGCAAGAAGAAAATATCTTGAGAATTAGCGACCAGCAGCAGCAGTTAGCTATTCTAAAACTCTCAGATCCTCCTAATGACCCCATCTACCTAAAGTGCCCAAATAAAGTAAAACCAGACCCCATGAAATATCTTTCCTCAGATGCAGCTGTTCTTTATTGCTTTATCAGATAATGAGCATGTGGTGATATTTCCAAGAGATTTGGGAAGGATCTGACACAAACATTAAAGTATAGGTTTTTTTAGGATAGCCTACCCAAGAAAGTTAAATTTGTGTCAAGATTCACATTCTTGGGAATTGAAGACAAGCCAGAGTGTCTTTTTGAAGTAAACACCAAATAGATAGTGAGATTGACAGAGAATACCTCCCAAAAAGTGACTTTAGCTACAATATCCTAATAGTGTTCAGAGTCATGAGTTCATTCACCTGCACTTGTAGGGAAGCGAAAAGGAAGAAGGAGGTAACATATGCTGAGTGTCGGCTATGTTTCAGGAACTATGCTAGGAGCTGCACGTATGTTGTTTTGTTTAATGCTTACAAAAGCACTTCAATGTAAGTATTATTGGCCTCACCATTCAATCATTTATTTAAAAATTATATATATCCTCCATCTACCTAGCCTGCTGTGCTTTTACAGAAGTGCAAAAAACTCAGAGTGGCAGTGAACACACATGGGGGAAAAACAAGAGAGAAAGTTTGAGAAGTGTGTGTGAGTCATGGAGAGGAGCCTATCAAATTCCTCTTTACCTTCAGAGGAATCATTTAACAATGTTGGTGTTTTGTTTTATTTGAGACAGAGTCTCTCTGTGTTGCCCAGGCTGGAGTGCAGTGGCACAATCACGGCGCACTGCATCCTCAAGCCGGCAGGCTCAAAGGATCCTCCCACCTGTCTTCCAAGTAGCTAGGACTACAGGCACAGGCCACCATGCCTGGCTAATTTTTTTTTTTTTTTTTTTTTTTTTTTTTTTTTTTTTGGTAGAGATGGAGTCTCCTTATGTTGCTGAGGCTGGTCTCAAACTCCTGGGCTCAAACAATCCTCCTGCCT